ATTTAAGTAAATTTTGAAAACATTTTTAAACTACTGTGTTCTTCTCTTCATTATGATCCTAGCAAATCTCAAAGAGAATGCCAAGTTGTAATTTGCTTCCAGACAGTAAGTGGAGCTGAAGTAATTGTGCTTATCATTAAATGCAATTTATACAAGATATTAATAAATTATAGATATATGGCAGCAGTAATTAAATTATTAACGAAATTTAGTATTGAGTTTGTGCTGCAAGTGATAAGCCTCTCATTGTTTTGCATCCTACAAAAGGATGAAAAATAACATCCATCTATCTTGTGTGCAGTGTTTTAAAGTGCAACTACCATTACAATGCAACCTTATATCCAGTGCTTGTGCTACCACTTCTCTATCGAAACAGTACACAAAAGAATAAAAGAAATGAAACTATTGCACCAGACAAATTTTGAAGCAACAATAAATTGTTTCTGAAGGGGAATATTTGCCAAGTCCACAAGCAAATACAATAAAAATTACCCTAGAGTATTTAAAAATGTATTTCTCAATACAAGCATTTTTCTCTTAAAATCAGATCAAACATCAGATAGAAACTAGGTATCTCAAGCAACAGAACACAATGAAGTAAAACCTAGTGTACTTGTATTTCTGTTGTAAATGTAACATTTGTCTGCATTCTTACAAAAATGATGCAGCATTTCTCTGATAAAACCAGCATAAATACCATGGTGTACAAGTTGTAACTAAAGAACAAATAAATTAGACTCCAGGGTCAAACATATTCTAAGTAAAGCAATTAATTAAAAAGAAGTAGGTTTGAAAATGAACTATTCTTAAAACTAAAACTATTAAATATTACATGATAACTACCTAACTAATTTACTGAAACATACTTCTTTTCAAAGAAGTGACCCTCGCACAGACCTCATTTACCGCATACTTGCTCGGCAACAGCAATTTTCAAAGATATCTTCCAGAATGTTTTAATAACAATGTCCTTTGATTTGGAACATACATACACAACATTACTTCCTCATATGGAGGAGTATGGTGGCAATAGATAAAGGACACAAAACAAGAATGGTAGGACTTCAGATTGGGAATTTTGTTAAGAATTTTACTGGTTTTCCTTGTTGCCTCATCAACTATTAGAGGATCGTCTATGGTATCTGAAGGCATTGTGGTGACCCAGGCACATGTCTTCACTTCCTCTCCCCTCTTCAAGAATTCGCGCAAATTAGACAAAATATCTGCATCATTTTTCTCGCAGTTAAATTTACCATTGGCATCAATTATCCCAATCAAAATATATGATTTCAAAGCCGAATGAAACTGCAGACTTGTAGGATTGTTGCTGCGAATGCCACACTGCCTCACAACACTGAAGAGATTCTCAGGTGGATCTTGGTTGAGACATCAACCAAGTTGCTAACGATGTCACTCCCAAGTCTCCAAGCATTCTCCACAATGAGGAAACAACGTTGATATTTTGCCACCATGCCTCCTTCTCCTTAGTGTGAGCAGACTTGACATCTGCATCAACAAACTGCCATGAATCCAGTTTCCTTTTCATACTCTGCCAAAATTCTAAATGCTGAGATCTGTTACTCAGTGGTCTTGTGTAAAAGTGAGTGTCATCCAATTTCAAACCGTTAAAAGAATCAAAGAGATGAGTGATGTCATTAATAAATTCAGCCAAATACTTAGCCCCATCCACTCCACATTTATATAAAGCATTAGCAACAGTTACACTCAAAATCTGAGCTGCTAACTTCACTTTCATTTTCCTTTTTGGATAAATATGTTCATTTGTGATATTCTACATGTTCTTATTAAATGACATTTTTTCCAATTCAAAAATGTCCACTAAAAATTGCCAACTAGTTTCCTTAACTTCTCCACTATCTGTTGGAAGATGATATTAAGAAAACTGGTGCTAGACAAATACATTGCTAGGATTTTCGCCCTACCAGCAGTGTAATTCATTTTGGAATCTTGTTTCATAATTGTAATTGATTATTTCATTTGTGAACATTTACACCATTCAAAATAGTCTTACAAATCTGTAAATCCATGTAATATAACCTAACCTGTACATGTCATTTATTCTGTTCTATTTGTTTAAAAGTATTGTAATTATATTATTTCGTATGGTATTGGACAAGTTTGGTTATATGTCCATTGTATATCCATATATTCATTTTTTGCAATACCCAGGTATTCAAAATGTCTCATTTTCAAATATACATAATTCATTATTGATTGCATTTATGGAATAGGTACACTCTCATTAGTATATGATGAAAATGTAATTAATTTTATTTGCTTAGGTGAACGAGTTTCATTTCCATTTTGGAGATGATCTTCGAGTTGCAGTATGATAACTGGCAAGATATAAACGAATTTGACTTCACTAACAATAGATGGAATTGTATGAACAGTGTTTCCTACAAACCCAGCCCTCTTGTCTTCTCAAAGAACATTTCAAGAAAATCTTATTACAAAGTGTGCCAGTGAAATCTTTTTTTCCCTTGATGCTGCAAGTGCTGCTAGTCTCGATGATATTGTAGACAAATATATTATTTCAGCAATATAATAATTGCCTTGTTTAGAAAAACTTGCCTAACAAGCACTAAAAATATATTAATAAACAATCAAAAAATTTTGAATGTGAACAGAACTGTGTAATAAATAATATACTCTGAATATCTAAAGTTCATTTTAAAAATTTAAAAATATTAAGATAGGTATAATACTTTTTTGGATATTTCACATACTTCAGTTCTACAAAAGGTTAATATATTTTAGATGATTTTTAATTAAATGTAGCCAAATTTGAATTGGTAAATGAATCATCTGAACAATAAATCATGTAATAATATTATTGGTAGTTATAGTAAAATTCTAATCAAATTTTTCTACATATGCTACAAATTCTGTCATCCGTAACAATTCAGTATTGTTCTGCCCATGTGTAGGTTTCAATGACGATAGTTTGTGTGTGGACTTTGTGGAAATATTGTCATGATGTGCAGTAACCAATCAGATAGCTATAGAAAATGCAGCCTAGACAGAAGAAATCTGTGCCAATTGTTTATTTTATTTTAAAGTTAAGATTACCTAAAACTGGAGATACAGGCCAAAATGAAATTGTTATATCTTCCACAAATTTTCATTTCATAATTTTTTTTGTAAACAATGCAAATTCCCTCTTTAATCCCAGAACCCTAAGCATATTAACTATGTTATTACTAACTACAAGGTGAATTGACTTCAATTAAACTTAATCGAATAAAACTAGTGTAATTTATACATTTGTCTCATTTTCCTTGGTTTTCAAAGACTTACCCAAAATAGACACTGAACCAATGATCGATATTGTATCAAAATTACAATTCTATTTTTGGCTAAAAAATGTCACCAAAACTGAAGGTTGGTATGATTTCAATCATGACTTAAATCAAATGATAGATTTAAAATATCAATGTTTTAAGTTCATATTTTTTATTTGTAATATTTGAAAAGTTTATACAGATAAAGACTTAAATAAATTACAGTTTATTCAAAGAATATAATATTTCTTATAAACTTTTTCACACAATTGAACAATTTCGAGCAAAAAAATACAATGTAATATACATTAAAATTAGCATGCATATGAAATGAACAATAAACAATTTGTAGTAGTTATTTACCAATGGACTTTGATGAAATAATAGTTTTCATCCAGCATTTCATTGTCTGTAGATAATAGTAAATTTAGGAACAATACACACACCGAGCTAGTTTCAAGAAAAATGCGTTAAATCATCAAGCGTATTTGTAATTCTAGATTTGGAGTAAAATGTTTGCTAATGCCACATATAATATATCATCTTAGAGAAGATGAGCATTAATAAAAATGGAATTTTATTGATACTCACTTAAGAATAAAATTAATATTGTTAAAACTAATAAAAACGGTATTTAATCTTACTAATTTTAATAATATTAACCTTTTACCTTGTGCTCATTGATAAAATACTATTTAAGTGGGAAGGAACAGGACAACTATTACATAGAATTTAATATTTCAAAAACTGTCTAATATTGTTGTAAGTTTTTTATGAAATCAGTCGTTCTCAACAGTAAGAGGTTTTTTGATTCAGATAATATTACAGAAAAGATGGTAAATTTTTTTTGGACGAAGAATGCCTTTTTTCTGAACCATGCTAATAGGTGGTGCCACAAGTTTATTCGATAATGTGAATACATGAGAAGTGTTTTAAGGGCATGAAACTATAAGAACTCAAATTCAAAGATTTTGTGGGTTAGGGCGGTAATGCACTAGACCCCTCAAATGTATAGTAACTATGAGGGAAAAAAAACAACTAAAACAAACAATAAGGAAATGATCAATTTAAAACTTCATGTTTTCACTTTTTTCTGTTTTTAAAGAAATTAAGGATAAATAAATCACTTTACAATTTTGGTTTTAAGTAAAAACATCTAATACAATATTTAAAAATATTATTTAAATCAAGATAATCTGAATCATAAGAAAAGCAGATAATACTCTTGGATATTCCCAACACGCACCTCAATCATTCGCACAACCTTACTTTGAAAATGCGCGCCAAAACGCAACTGCTGCGCTATCTGCACCAGGCCCGTGACTGAGGAAACCAAAGAGTATATTTGGAAACAAACTTAGTCCCCCGCCTTTTAACCAGAGAGTATTTTACGTTTGCTTTTAACATTGGTGAACCGGCCCTGGGCCAAGCATGTGCACACGTGTTCGGTGATGTTTCGTTAGTATTTTTCGTTTCAGTGATTTTTGCTATCTCTGAAGATTTGTTTATTCTCTTGAGTTCTTCGTGTTCACTGTTTGGGATGTGTTTTAAACAATAACTTATTTAATGGTTTGAAAAAATGCTGAAGGGATCTGTTTATCGTTAATTCTTTATTTGTTGGTCTACGAAGTGTGGGAATATTCCTACATTAAAAAACCTACTAGGAAGTTCATTAGACACTAATATAATTTAGTTATGGCTACAAACGAATTTCCCCAAGGATTTAAAGCAGTTGTTGCAAAAGCCACTGTACAAAGTTCTGTAATCCGCTGGCTTTTTATTAAGCAACATAAGGTTCGAGAGCCAGTTCCAGGTAAACCTACTGATAGAACTTTGTTTGTAATCAACGTACCTCCGTTCTGTGACGAAACAGCCTTGGCATATACGTTTAGTGTGTGTGGTGAAGTGACAGATGTATTTTGCCACGCTAGGCCAAACCCTGGAGTGCCTCAACAAAGTTCTGGAATTTTTAACAAACGTCGGGAACTCTGTATTTATAAAGTAGCATATATAGTCTTTGAATCACCTGAAGGCCTTTCAAGGGCCCTTGCATTGAATAATGATATGCCTTTAATACTGCACTGTGAACAATCTGGTGTGAAGTTAGGAATTGAGAAGTGGATGGATAAATATGATAGTGCTCTTTTGAATCATAATGAACTGGAAACTGAGATCAAGACGTTTATGGTTGAATTTGATGCTGAAGAGAAACGGAAGGAACATGAAGCTAAGATGGTTGGTGAAGCAGATGAAGAAGGATGGATAATGGTAACAAATAAAAGCAGAAAACGAGGAATAGCAAGAACTGAAGTTATTCGTAAGAAAATATTGGATAAAGAAAAACTGAAACGTTCTAAACGAGAATTGAAAAATTTTTATACATTTCAAATACGTGAATCAAAAATGAAACATTTGGAGACCTTAAGAAAAAAGTTTCAAGAAGATAAGAAAAAAATTAATGCATTTAAACAGACCAGAAAGTTCAAACCATTTTAAGAAACTACAAAGTAAAATTAATAAACAGTTGGTTGATTAGTTGCAAAATGGATATATTACTTTATCTGATTCTGACCCTACCAAAACACTTGTGCATATGTAAAGTTGAAACAACAAGAATATATATTTTTATTGTTTATTTGTCATTTTTTGTGATTGTACTTTTGACAAGTAAACAGTGTTTTGTATTAAGCGATTGTGACCGTTAAATGCATTGAAAAGATTTTATTGATAATAATTAATAATACTATGATAATTGTTTTGAGTTTCTCTTGCCCACTTTTCTTCTTATTGATATAAACAATGTAAATTTTAAGCCTGTGCTAGGAGAGTCCATTATTTTTTTTTGCCTTTTAGTATAAATAGAAAGTATATCTACTTCTTTTTTTTGGGGGGGGGGGGCGGCAAAACTATACATGTTACTATTTAATAACACCATCAGAAACAACTGTAGTACTGTGGCAGAAACCAATTTATCAAAAGGCTATTCTTTGTGATGTGATTATTGGTGTTTTCATTATCCAGGAAAGTTTGCATGTCTTGCGAGTAAGGAGGAAGGTACAAGTTGTGAAATGCTTTACTGAACTTATCACATTATAATTAAAGTTTAAGCTAACCCAATAACTGTGGAAAGCAACTAATGAAATATCAATTGTTTTTGCCTCTCTAGTTCTGCCTTGGTAACACAGAACTATTATTGTCCTTTTCAATATGATTTGGAACTTAATGAGAAAATGATAGGAAAGGAGCCCTTTATTTCTGAATTAATGATTGGAATTCTAAAAACAGATAGGAAGCTGAAGTTTCTTAAAGCCCCTCTAAGTAAAATTTAATTCAAAGGGATAACAGAAGTAACAATTTTTTCTTTGTGATTCTTTAATCCTTTTTTTGTGTGTGTTAGTTTATTTAGTTGCCATAAAATAAGGATTAAGATGTTTGTACCATACATGTTTTTGTTTAAAATAATAACAAAACTAATTTCAACGGATAGGATTTTGTGTACTTGCTTACAAAGTAATATTTGATATTTTTATTTTTGAGTGTCAAATTAATTGCAATATTCCATAGTTTCAGATGTTTATTTGGTATTAAGCCCAAATAACATATTAAATCCTCGAAATTTTGTTGTGGGTAAGGGTGGGAAAAGTTGACATATTTTTTATATTTATTAAAATCAATTTTTTGTGATTTAAATGAGATTTTGATTACTATTTTCATATATGATTTTGATGAAGAATAGACATTCAAAAGCTCTCAGAATCATTGCTTCTTATTATTATTGTTTTAAGAAAAATCACTGATTTTTAATTTCAATTTCTATTATTACTTGCCTAATCAATAATTTCAACATCAATGATTCATTGTTTTCTTCCTATATCTGCAATGTATTAAGTTTACAAATATCTATAACTTCATTAACTTTCAATAATATTTGATACCCCATCATTCGAAGCAATAAAATAAGTAGTTATAATTATGCAAATAAGAGGCACGTTCAGCAATTTGCGTGGGGAGATGGAGTACAGATGTAATAATATTTTATTGATTCACATATTCAATTACAATAGTGTATGACGATTTAATATGTCGTTTTGGGTGCAGAGAGTGAAGTTACATTACTGTACAGAAGCAAGAAAAGAAGATGGGCCATATCAGGATTTGCTCAAGGACTGTATTGGCTTTGTCTTGTACAATTTTGGTTGTACTTTCTTTGAATATTACATTAGTGTCATCAGCAAAAAGTGCAGTTCTGTTGTTTTCCATTATTGATGGAAAGTCATGTAGCAATGCAAGAAAGAAAATCTAGCCTCGTGTGGATCCTTGCGGGACTCCATAGGTCACATCTCTTGTTTCAGAGTAGTGAATTTTTATTTTGTAGATTTTGGTTTTTGAAAATTCTGACAAGAGTAAAATTGGTCTATAATTTATTAAATCTTGTTTGTTACCTTTTTTTGTGGACAGGCTTAATTAATGCAGTTGTGATTATGTTTGGGAAGAAGCCACAAGTTAGTGATTTGTTGTATAAATATGTTAATGGTTTGATGATGTATGGAACAATCTTTTTTATTATGAATTCTGGAATGTTGTGTAACCCAGCAATTGTTTATTTTTCATTTTGTTTATAATATAAAGTATTGCCTACTCTGTGATGTACGTACTAGAAAGCGAGTTTTTAAAGAAAGGTGGTAGTTGCTTACGTGTAGTGTTTGGATTACTTGTTTGCAGAAGTCTGCCAACAATTTGAGAGAAATGTTTCATGAATATATTGGTTGTTTCATTAGGATTTTTTATTCTTCTGGGTTCATGTACTAGTTCAATATTTTTGTGTTTGTTTTGTCTGTTGCTAGTAAGTTGTTCTTTTTAACAATGTTCCATATACCTTTTGTTTTAGTTTTGAATTGTTTGTCATTTATTACAACTTTTCAGTTCAACCTTACTTAAATATGGCTGAATATCACTTTTAGTAGTTATCTATTTCATGATTACAAGAGTGTTGTTTTGTGAGTGTATGAAGCTCTCTTTTTCTCCAGAGATTTTAATACCTTTTGTTATCCATGCTTTACTGTTTTGTGACACTGTTGTGGATGTGAGATGTTGAAATAGTATTTGATTGTAGTGAAGTATTGGACTGGGTTGATGTCAGATATTTTGTATACACCTGACCATGATTCATCGGTTAACAGTGAGAGAGTTTCTTCAAGTTTTTTGTATCAAACTTTCTAGTCTCCTTTATTGGATTTGCTTTATAATGACAGTATTATATTTGAGTACATGTGCTTTAAATAATGTGGTATAAAACTTTTGGAAAACTACTGTTTTCTGTCAAAACTAGCTCAGTTTCGCAATTTTTTCAAAAACGGCTCCAAATTTTTTCCTTAAACTTTTCAAAAGAATAGTGCTAATTGCATTCTTTAATATGATGTAAAGTTCATTTTAGGGTATTGTTTTTGTTTTTAAAAAAATTATACAAATGTAATTTTTTTAAGATCTCTCACCGCTAATATGCACATTTCCAGAAATTTATAAACACTTGTATTTGTGAGTTAAAGTACTTTAAATGACTTCAAATGAAGTTATTCAAAAAGATAGAACATGTTTCTTGTAGGCAGGGCATTGTGTGTGTGTGTGTGTATGTACGTTGTGGTACAACTGAGTATACTGACCAGCTGACTTGATAGTTTTTATAAAGAAATTTTCATTTATGATTAATATAAAATTTATTTTTATTTATTGACTTAAAGAAAATATTTATAATGTAAACAATTTATATAGAGAGAGACTTTCATGAATACAGAAAATTGGTAAAAGCTGTATTTTGGTTTTTCGGTAATGACTCATGGACTTCTGGGCGGATGAGCCACCGTGCAATTAGCATTTAATTCATTGAGTTAAAGTTACTTGCATTTCTGTTATAGCATTTTAAACTTTTACAATAAATCAGAATTACCAACACAGTTCACAAAACTACCGACACTTCCAATTTCTAGTATTTGACACTTCGCTGAGAACAAGATCGGACAGAATCAGGATCGATTAGAATGGTGGCCATTGCCAGAACCTTGCTTTGCACAGTAGTCACTATGGGCATGAAACCTCAAGGTGAAAAGGGGGTAATGATTTCAGCGCCACCTACTCAGTCTTAGTAACGAGCCGAACTAACGTGTGATGTCATGCAATTCAAAAAGGCGGTGGCGGTTCGTGTCATTCGTTACGTCACGTAACTTTCGTGCTGCTACTGACGGTTGCTCACTATACTGCGATTCTTCTAACTTTAATAATAATATATTTGTCACATAAATACAGCATGCGCATGTATGACAAGTTAGGATATGTATATAATCACACAATACAGATATTTCTAAAAATTAAATATTAGATATAAATTAAGTTTCAAATTCAATTCTCGTATGAAATACAATATCATGGAAAGCTAATTAATTTTATACACGGTAGTGAAAGAAGACTAAGTAAAAATCAATAAATGAAGTTCTTCATAGATTCGTGCCTAGGCTGGGCCCGTCCTTTATATCCGAAAACAAGTTGTGGGGGGGGGGTGAAAACATGCAATAGAAAATGCAAAAATTATTAGTACTAGTTTATATTAACGTGTTTATGATGCATGTATTATTTTGTACTGTGTGTGTGAATGTGTGGTTTAACAGGAAAGCTTTCAGTTTATTTTTGAATGTGAGTATCGAGTTTAAGCTTTTAAATCCACTAGGAAGTTTATTATTTAGTGTAATGCTTTCTATAGCGGTACTTTTTTGAAAGAGTGACGTTTCACTGTGTGGAACATGCAGATTTCGTTTTTGTCTAGTATCATAGTTATGAACTTCTGTGTTCAGAGTAACAGAATCCTTGTTTCTCATAAGTGTTTTCTTTGTGAAGATGAATATTTTAAATAAGTACATGCATGGGAGTGGTATTATTTGTAATTTTTTGAACAGTGGTTTCCAGGATTCATGTTTGTGAGTGTCATTGTTCTCAATATTCGTTTTTGGATGATGAAAGTGTGAATACTTTCTGGGGAATTTCCCCAGAATATTATTCTGTATTTTAGGTGCGAGTGAACATTTGCAAAAGTACCCCATTCACAGTGTATCTAAGTTAGAATTTGACATCAGGATGTATATGGCATAACATGTCTTTGTAAGCTTGAAGTTTAGATTTGTGATATGAAAGTTCCATTTTAGATCATTTTGAATAGTCAATCCAAGGAAAGTTGTTTTTTTGGACTATTTTTACGGGCATGTTTTTTACCATCAATGTGCTGAAGTCTTTTCTTTAGAGAGTGGATTCCGAAAGTTTAGAGAGACAGTTTTACTAGTGTTTATGATGAGTTTATTTTCCTGGAACCATTTTACTAGTGCCTCTAGGACTGTTTGTGCTTGTTTTGGTAGAGTTTGTTGAGCACTTTTTTTAATAATAATGTTTGTGTCATCTGCAAATAGGACCATTTTGCTCTTTTGTAAGGTCAGGGGCATGTCATTGATGTGTAA